ATCATTTTGCCACAAATATCAGAACTCTGGTGTCATTTTTCTAGACACAAGATTCACAACCAGTGCCAAAATTGTACGTTTTTGCTAAACTCTTAACTCTTTTTTTCCAAATGCTTGGATACAATACACTCAAGTCAAAGATACTTTGTTCATTAAACTACGATCACCTTTTCAATATAAGACAATTACACATCAAGTTGATCCCATTTCAAAATGCAGCTCAAACATTACACTTGAAATAAATGCGTATTCATTGTCTTCACATGATGTTATTATCAACTGATACAAGCACTCACAATGATAAATACTGCTGCGTTACTCTTGATGCGAGGAAACTGATGTACAATGTTACATGTTAAGCGATGAAAGTTTCAGGATAGATCAAATGACATCAGATACCACAGAAGATGACCAAACTGGACTACATTATCCATAGAGTTCACCTTTATTCATCCTTATTCCATAGTTAGGGTTTCTTTGTTCCGTGTACCACTTTTACAGACAGTGATTACAGATTTGACATCTCAATCACAGCAGACCAATGTCAGACCTGAATTCACACTGACAGAAGGATCTTTCCAAGATTTTTGAGTAATGAAAACACCACTGTGACGTAGAGGAGAACCTGTGACCAAATCCACAAGACCAGATGGAAACACAGATCCCAAATTAGAAATCTGATATATACAGTTGAAGTCAGAATTATTAGCCCTCCTGATTTATTATTTTTCAACAATTTCCGTTTAATGGAGGGAAGATTGTTTCAGCACATTTCTAAGCATAATAGCTTTAAAAACTTATTTCTAATAACCGATTTATTTTATCTTTGCCATGATGACAGTAAATAATATTTGACTAGATATTCTCCAAGACACTTCTATACAGCTTAAAGTGACTTTTAAAGGCTTAAGTAGGTAAATTAGGTTAACTAGGCAGGTTAGGGTAATTAGGCAAGTTATTGTATAACGATGGTTTGTTCGGTAGATTATCGAAAAAAAAAAATTAGCTTAAAGGGGCTAATAATTTTGTCCCAAAAATGGGTTTTAAAAAATTAATAACTGCTTTTATTCTAGCCGAAATAAAACAAATAAGACTTTCTCCAGAAGAAAAAATATTATCAGACATACTGTGAACATTTCCTTGCTCTGTTAAACATAATTTGGGAAATATTTAATAAAATAAAATCAAAAGGGGGCTAATAATTCTGACTTCAACTGTAGAAATATATGCGAATTACATATGTGACATAATAGTATGATATTTACATATATAAAATGTCATACAGTTCAAAAATATAAATTTTTTCAACTATTACAATTACAAATATGTAAATATATATTGAGTAAATGTATTATCTATTATGTTATATGTTTTACCTCAACAAATATATTACCTATAACTTGTATAGGTGACCATATGGCTGTATATGAACACACACTATATGATATGGTTGAAAAAAATGTAAACAGTGATTTTTGCCAAACTATTGACTATTAAGACATTTTATATACAGTTTGTGTAATCCAATTGTAATTTGCATATGTTGTCATATATCATGCCATATATCAGCTTTCTATATAGGGAAGTGCTGTGAGAAAAACATTACAGTGAACTTACATTATGACGGAGTGAATAAAACTAGTTCAGTGTATTCACTGTCTGTTCTGTTCACTTTACACTTGTGTATAAACCATCATGAAACCTGTATCGTATAATTTAAACAGCAATATTTAATGATTGTTAAAGATTGTATGCATCTTGTGTGCTGGTGATTTAAAGTTGTGTTCCTGTAGTATTTGTATGATAAAAGTAATATGTGAACCAATGATCCTGCAAATGCAAGACTTCTTTAAGGAAATCAACTCAGCAGGCAGAGTTTTGAATACTGGAGAGTCTGTGGTAAAACTAGGGACTGTTTAGAGTTTTGAAAATTGACATCAGGTTTCTGAAATTTGTGGCAAAACAACTGAAAAAAACTAATTTTAGCCATGCCTGTGCCATTAGGGCAGCATGGTGGCACAGTGGATAGCAGGATCGCTTCACAGCAAGAAGGTCGCTGGTTTCAGCCTCGGCTGGGTCAGTTGGCATTTCTATGTGGAGTTTGCATGTTCTCTCCATGTTCGTGTGGGTTTCCTCCGGTTTCCCCCACAGTCCAAACACATGCGCTATTGGTGACTTGGGTAAGCTAAATTATCCGTAGTATATGTGTGTGAATGAGTGTGTATGGATGTTTCCCAGTGATGGGTTGCAGCCGGAAGCGCATCCGCTGTGTAAAAACATGTGCTGGATGAGTTGGCGGTTCATTCCGCTGTGGCAACCCCGGATTAATAAAGGGACTAAGCCCAAATCAAGGATCACGTGCTTATGATTGTTCACAGCTGTTCCAACTTTAGCTAACGACTGATTATCCTATCAGACGATCCTTAATTCACTATAAATAACCAGACTTTTCTCATCTCAATATCTTCGTCTCGAAGAACAACCCCCCACCCCCCACCCACCCACCCAAACCTACTTTCCCTCCTTTCAAACGGGCGTCACGGCGGCCAGCGATTAGCGCTGTTGCCTCACAGCAAGAATGCCCCTGGTTTAACTCCTTTCCAAACCAGACGGCATTTCTGTGCGGAGTTTGCTCGTTCTCCCTGTGGTCGCATGGGTTTTCCTCCGGTTTCCTCCCACAGTTCAAAAACAAGCACTCTAAACAATTAATCCGAAATACTTTAGCTAAACTCTGAGTACACCTATCAGCATCCATATCTGACACTTAGCTACAACAAGCAGGAGGGGGAGTCATCGGGATCTACCTGAGCTCAAACTCCCCTCTCGCCTTGCAACGGGAGGGAGCCCAGAGCTCGAGGATCTTATAAGCTCAGGGCTCTCTCCCGGGACAGCACGCAAAACTAGCTTTATTATCAATCATCAGCTAAGTGTGAACTCTTGAAAATAAATGAATGAGTAGCAAAATGTATTGGAAAACATAGACATACTTTTGAAAGTTAAGTCATACGTCTGTGGTTATTTTGGTTAAAGTAACCTAAAGATAATACTAAATGTAGTGTAATGCATTTCTGAGATATTAATATTGTAATGTAACTTGTCCAATTGCTAATGTTCATTAACGATATTAACGGGGACTTGGAGCTAAACTGTCTATGTGTATCTCCGCTGGAGCTACGTCACCCAACTTGCTCTGAGAGGGTATCGAATCGGCGACCTTCCGCATGGGAGTCGGTTTCTCTACCAAGGAGGCTAAAGACCACGGCCTCTAGCGTCTGTCGCTAGACCACCTTTAGAAATCAGAGGAGTGAGGTTTACCTGCACAGCACCTACTAGTTACACCTGCACAATGTAGCTAACACAGCAGATGTTGCTTTAGAATTTGTGAGTTTGTATAAATTGTTAAATAGGATAATCTGTAAAATAAAAAAAAATCAGTAAAATATTTAAAATAAGTATATAATTTTGGTAACACTTTATAATAACTACACACTATAAATCATGTATTAAGCATTAGCATCTAGTGAATTCATCATCTGTTAAGCATTAACTCTACATTAATAAGCGTTAGTAAGCAGTTTATAACTGCAGCTACAAATGCTCTATTCTTGACTTATAAGCAGCTGTATAATGTGCTTAATAATCGTATTTTCATACTTAGTTAATGATTTATTTTTCATTACTAAATTATGTATCGCATTATTTACAAACCATTTGTATTTAAGAGTAGTTGAGGGTTTTAGGATGATTCAGAATGTGTTAGTAAATGATTAATAAACTATTGAAATCAACGTTTATATATCTTATTAATCATGCATATATTAATAGTTAACTAATATGTTAATAAATGCTTTATTAACTCAACTTCATACAGTTTTGTGATCTAATCTAAAGTGAGGACTATTCATGCTTTATAAATCCCTTATAAATGAAATTAAAGGGTCAGAATCAAATGAACAAAGCATCTTTGCAATGTTTTCTAAAAAGTACAATTTTGATAAAGTTTAAACATTGCTGAACAACTGGAGTGTCAAAATACAACATTCAACTGGATAAAACAACAACAACAACAACATAGTAATTTAACAATATAATAAGATGCAATGTTTAACCTCTACAGTGATTTTATTTTAGATTAGGTTGCAAAGACTTATTTTTTATTTGAAATGAATGAATTGGACATTATGAAGGACGAATAAATGACTAGAAATGACTAATCTCATTTTTTTTCTCATCTTCTTTTTGTTTATCATTTAACTGAGCCTTTATTTGTCATTTATAAGGGATTTATAAAGCATAAATAGTCCTCACTTTAGATTAGGTAACAAAACTAGATGAAGTTGAGTTAATAAAGCATTTATTAGCATATTAGTTAACTATTAGTATATGCCGGAATAATAAGACATAAAAATGTTGATTTCAATAGTTTATTAATCATTTACTAACTCATTCTGAATGATCCTAAAAACCCTCAACTACTCTTAAATACAACTGGTTTGTAAATAATGCGATGCATAATTTAGTAATGAAAAATAAATCATTAACAAGTATGAAAATACGATTATTAAACACATTTTAATATGTTTATAAGTCAAGAATAGAGCATTTGTAGCTGCAGCTATAAACTGCTTACTAACGCTTATTAATGTAGAGTTAATGCTTAACAGATGATGAGTTCACTAGATGCTAATGCTTAATAAATGATTTATAGTGTGTAGTTATTATAAAGTGTTACCCCTCTTCTCCCTTTTGAGAAATAGTTACTCTTCACTCATCAGTACATTTTTACTTTTACTTGAGTCGATTTATAGACGTGTAACTTTACTTTTACTTAAGTAAAGTTTTTCGAAAGTAACAGTACTTTTTCTTGAGTAGAAGATTTTATTACTCTTTCCACCTCTGTTATTTTTACAGTGTCAGATTAAATATGTGATGCTCTACTTTACTTGGATCAGTCTGGAAACTACCATTGAAGTAGACCATTGAATAAACAGAAATCTTACTAGTCTGCAGGGTGACAGCGCGTTGAGACTGTTGCTTTTCATCCAGCGTTGATATTACATCCAGGTGATACCACGTTCCGGGATCTAAACTCTCGATTTGGCACTTGGAATGTTCTCGGTCTTGACGGCAGCCTTTCGAATCTGTGTGTCTGTCCTTGACAGAAACTGTGTATTGACATTTCACGTTTGCGTTATCCAGCGTGAGGCGTATTGACTCTGTGGAAGAGATGACTTTCACGATTTCGATGCTACATTCCGTTGCGTCCACCACCATGGTACTCTGAAAAAAAAATTTGGAAAAACTTTTAGAGGACTGATTAAGTGGCATACACAGTCGCATATACAGTAAACTTACCAGTATTCCGCATGCTGCCCAAACAGCGGCATGAAAGGCTTTATTTCTCAGCATCGTAATTATTTCTCTTCACAGAAATTCAACGGCAAAATGCACATCGTTCCTCTGTGTGTATCGCAGAGACTCCTAAAGCACTTTCTGCGAATCCAGTCGCCTCCGTGGGAACGGCTAACTTTCACTCGTTAGCGCAGGACAATCAGGAACGTGCGAAGGAAAACAATCCAGTCTCTGAAGGATATCCTCAATCAAAACGTCTACAGAAGCATTGCTTCTGGAATTCCAGTGGAGACGCATTTTGTAGTCTGTGTGTTGGAAATCTTTCGCTTAAAATACCCCAACATTACTAGACTTGTACATGACAGTAATAAGGCAGAAATTTCTTCAAAACACACGCTCCTCTACAAACGTTTCGGGTTATAAATACCAGTCAAATGGAACTTGCTGGAACAATAGATGTCAGTGACTTTGGGCTCCATGAACACTCAATACAGCCCAGCCCCGCTTCCTTCCTGTGTCCTCAGCGCTCCCACAGAAGGATGTGTTGAACAAAGCAACCCATAGTAACAGCTAATCTACAAATGGCTGGCATGTAAACATTTTTGCAGTTAATATTTTCAAACTCCTATTATTTTTATCCCAGTAAAGCTGCGTTCACGTAATCCGTACTGTGTAAAGTACTATAGATATAAAAGTGACTTGACTTTCTCCATTTCAAGGTTTGATTTTTAAGTACATACACTTTCCTTTGTCTTACTCGTTTATTTATTAGGGGTCACCACAGCGGAATGAACCGTCAACTATTCCAGCATATGTTTTACTTCCAGGCGCAAGGCAGTTTGGTGAAACGCCCATACACTCTCACATTCACACACATACACATGTCTTTGGATTGTGGGGGAAACCGGAGTACTCGGAGGAAACCCAGGCCTGCATGGGGAGCAGGCCCGGATTGGCTAATCGGGAGGACCGGGAGAATTCCCGGTGGGCCAGTCCGTTTTTTGGCCCGAGGGCCGGTGTCCCTAGCTGCTTGCGCTCTCAGCAGTTGCACTTTTTACATTTATATGTTTATTTGACCATAGCCTCAGTCTTTTTATTCATTATTGTGCCGCAGATCTGCTCTTTTTATTTATTTTCTCGCAGCCCCGTGAGCAAAATGCAGCCCGCAGGTTAATGATGACGTAACTTAACTATCATTCCACCCCAAACAGCGGCACCTTAGTGAATATTAATGAATATTAACTGCTCAATGAAAATCAGGTGATTCACTACATTAAAAAATCTGACATAACTTGATCAGAAATATAAAAAGGGGAGAAAAATAGTAGGGTGAAAAAAAAAAAAAAGAGTAGACATCCATTTCAGCAGATAACAGTGCAATACTTAAACTTTATCTTGGCCATGAATGGAAGCAGGGATACTGGTCTGTAGTTTTCAAGTAGCATAAGGTCCAGGTTGGGTTTCTTTAGCAGTGGGGTTACCCTAGCCTGCTTAAATGAAGTGGGGAATAAACCAGAGTGAAGAAATGTGTTAATTATGCATTATTATGCGTAACTTATGCGTTATCAAACTAAAACGCATTAGTGTAAACGGGGCTTAAGTTGTGTCAACACCAAATAGTCCAAATCTGCAGGAGGCAGAAGCCAAAGGGGCATGAAGTCACGACAGAGTCTACGAAGCCTACAGATCCCTTTCGTTTCTGATCAATGTATCAGTTCGTGCAGATGTGATAACTGTTTTAGAACACATCTCAGTCAAGACCCAAGTTAACTCCAGAATAGTTCTCTAGAATTCATATATTAGGTTTTTTTTTAATTGTTCACACACTTTTTTTCAAAATATAATCACAATTATTCAAGCACCACACTCAATTTGCAGAATTCCTAGATTGTTTGCAAAATGACGCAGTTCAATGGAAACATATACAAATATTTGAGAAAATGCTATTAGTTTTCATTTAACCACCACAGTCCTCAATTATCAGACACTATTGCAGACAGTTTCACAGTGCTGTGATAAACCTAAAACACTGTTAGCACTTCTACTTCCCTATGATTAGAGTAGGCTACCATCAACAAAGTACAAATGTAAAAGTAAATCCACCAAACACTACACAAGACCAATGCTGCACACTGAAGAAACTCATTTATTTCTCAACATGCCCAAAATGTTGACATGGAGATTCATAGTACTGTAACAACATGTCACTTTACGCATTGTACTGTGAGTTTACGGTTACAAAAAGAAAGAAAGAAAAATAACGATGTCTCTTCGTCAAGCTGGATCTGGCCAGAAAATCTCCTCAACATCGCAGGCAACGTTGTCATTAGCAAACACCTTTGTAATCCATCCTTGGGTTGCTGCTACCTCCATCTGGTCAAAGACCTCCTCCATGGCTTGGTTAGGGGGGGGTACATCAGCCTGGAGACAGAGATCACCTTCTACCGCTATGCCAAGAAAAACTCTTGGAAGATACAGGACGGTGAGTGGTGGAAGGACACATTGTCCAAGACAACACTGTATTACATATGATGGCTTTGACTTGCTTATTTGCTTACTCTTCCTCTGACTCATTCCAATGTGCTTGAATGCAGATGACCTCACCTGCTGCTTTTTATAGTGCTTAAACACCTGATTGGTGTGTCTACAATTAAGCAAACAAGTGTTTGCACACCTGATGGCTGTGTTGAACCAATTGGTTGGACGGTGCGGTAATTTGACAATCAGGGCATGATAGATTTTTTGATAGAAGCAGACTTACATTTTTAATACACGACTCCTGTAATATACTTGAAACTGTATATGTTTTACAGTGCATTGATCATGAAGCCTGAAATGATGGCTTGGCTTGTCATATGTGAGATGAATGAATGTTGAAAACCTTTCCCCTCCTTTCATTAACTTATCTATGATTTTAATCCAATGTTTAAAATGTATTGTATTAACAGTGTAAATGTATACTCTATACCAGGGGTGCTCAATCCTGTTCCTGGAGATTTACCTTCATGCAGAGCTCACCTGCAACCTTGATTAAACACATCTGTCTTTAATTACCAAGTGCTCCTTCAGATCGTAGCTGCGTCCCAAATGACACACTATGCACTCATGCACTCAACAGGATAGTATATGTATGTACACAGCAAATTTTAGATAGTAGATTTAACTACCTTAGAGCTTAAATTAACACTCCCTCAGAGTTTATATGGGAACCACTATAAGTGTTAAAAACAACACTTTTGAAAATGTTAACATTGTCAACACCAAGAAAGTGTTAATTAGCAAACTCTTATTGTGTAAAATATCTGTTAAATTTCCGAAAAAAATACCAGCAGCTGTGGTAGCCAGAATCTTTCTGTGAAAAACATGGAAGTTTTATAGAACTGTATAAATTTACAAAAAATAACCATATTTCATGAACTAACACAATGTTCAGTTTACAAAATCATAGCTTAGTAGAAAAAAATGTAAAGTCTTTAGATGCAATAATGTGTTCATGTGTGATTGCAATTAGCAAACAGATTTTGACTGCATTAGTAACTACACAGTTACCTTTAAACAAAAGAAGATGCAGCATAACATTAAATACTCTCAGTTCATCTTGGACTTGAACAGAGATGCTATTATCCTCCACAATGGTGACACAAAAACTGTTCAGCTGTTTTTCTTTTTTCTTTTTTCATTTTTAGATTTTACGGAAAAATACCAGCAGCTGTGGTTGCCAGTAATCTGCTGTTTTTAACATTCATAAATTCAGTTTACAGAATATTTCTGTTAAAAGCACATTCAACAGTCTGTATTTTTTATCGATCTCACACTGCAAAGTTTAGATTTGGTAGATTTAACTACCTTAGAGTTAAAATTAACACTCCCTCAGTGTTTATATGGGAACCACTATAAGTGTTAAAATAACACTTTTGAAAGTGTTAAAATTTTTAACACCCAGAGTGTTAATTAGCAAACTCTTATTGTGTAAAATATCTGTTAAATGTATGTCAAAATACTGGCAGCAGTGGTTGCCAGTAATCTGCTGTTTTCAACATTTTACATTCGTAAATTCAGTTTCCAGAATATTTCTGTTAAAAACAAATCCCATAGTCTGTATTTTTCATTCGAACACACTTAAACCTTAAATTCCACAGCAAAATCCTAACTAGTGTCCTCACTACAGAGGGCTGAACACTCAGACAGTGATGAAGTTAATGAGACAATTATGTGTCTAATTAAAGGAGGATTGAGAATTATTGATGAACAACTGTTAACAAGCAGAATCACCGAAGGAAAGAAAAACACAAGACAAAACCAAAGATGAAATCAACTGAGAAAAAAAAACTCTAAATAAAATAATAATCAATAAAAATAAAACAAATTACACATTAAAAAATGTTATTTTTCAACATCTTTAAAACAACTCATCAAATTAAACAACTTATCATGGAGCTTCACCTATTACTGACCTGTGACTTTATTTCTGTCATGTGAACAAAAGCTCTTAATGAAATTTCCGTTGTTCATTTGAAGTCACCGTGATGGAGGACAGAGTCTGCTTTAGTCAGGCTCTTCAACTTCTTGCTATAAATGTCTTTTATTTAGGCTGCTATAGTTAGTGTTAATCACACTACTTATACATATAGCATGGAAGGCCAAAAGAAAATTAAAGTGTCAGTCTGAAGAGATTATTTATGATATCATAGCCATTTTTCCTGCTTGTTTTTTTAATTCAGTATCATATTAGTTATGTGTGAGAAATAAATAATATACATAAATGAAACCACTGAAGCTCCAACAATTAATGACCTTATAACAGGTTATCAAATAATACCTGCCGTGAGCATAACCGCATTCACCATCGGGAGGCGCTATAATCACTCTCGTAGGAGAATTTTGCTTTCACCATCTAAAATAAATAAAGTTATTCAACATGTGCATCCGATAGCTCCGCCCCTTCCGCTACGTAAGCAAACCTGCGGTCGTTGAGTGTGTGAAGTGTCCATCATTCCACACTTCATTTTAGCGGATGAATGAGTGCATCATCCGTGTAATTTAAGTGCACTTATTATTGTTAGCTTTCAGTGTGAACACACTACTTTATACTACAAAATGGCGTAGAATAGTGCATAAGTATGCGATTTGAAACGCAGCTAATGTTTCAGGGGTGGCCAACCCTATTCCTGGAGAGCCACCTTCCTGCAGATTTCAGTTGCC